GCGGTGGGGGTTCAGATGGACACCTTCAAGCCTATAGGTTCCCCCCCTCCGTCCCAGCCAGCTGGCTGCTCCCAGTCTGCGGAACTTCCTGCTACAGGAGACGAGGTTGCCCCCTCCCACCTTTCCTCAAGAAGGTTTTTAATAAGGAAATGACTGCTAAGGAAGGAGCTTCAATGGGGGGAGTGGACTAGATAGAGAGAGAGAGAGAGAGAGAGAGAGAGAGAGAGAGATGGATGGATGGATGGATGGATGGATGGATATCAATAACAAATCCTGTGAGACTATTTTTTTTAATTGGATAACCTCCCTGGTAGACAGAGGGAATGCTGTAAATGTAATATATCTTAACTTCAGGAAAGTTTTTGACAAAGTGCCCCATGATATCCTGATTAGCAAGCTAACTAGGTATGGCTGGATAGTTCAAGTGTCAGGTGGATACATAATTGGCTTCAGAATAGCACTCAATGGGTGATGATTAATAGGTCCTTCTCTAACTGGGAGGTAACAAGTGGGGTATCTGAAGGCTCAGTCCTGGGCCTGGCACTCTTCAACATTTTTTTTTGGCTGAGGGAGTGCAGGGAATATTTATTAAATTTGCAGATGGTACAAAATTGGGTGGAATAGCTAATACTAGAAGACAGAAACAAAATTCAAAATTACCTTGATAGGCTTAAATAATGGGCTGAAAATAAACAGAATGAAATTCAGTAGGGATGAATGCCAAGTTCTACACCTAGAGAGAGAAAAACAATTGCACAGTTACAAGAGTAGAGATACTTGGCTCAATGATACTATTGAAAAGCTAAATATGAGCCAACAGTACACTGTAGCTGCAAAAAAGGCAAATGTGATTTTAGGATTCATTAACAGAATTTTACTCTCCAAATCCTGTGAGCTCGTAGTTCGTCTCTTTTCAGGACTGGTTAGGCCACATCTAGAGTCTGGGATCCATCAGGGATTGGGAGGTGCTGATGGGATGGGAGGATGACCTGAGGGAGAGGCGCTGTGACAGATAGCAAGGTCCTTTTTAAAAAAAAATATTTTTTATTTTCTATAACTATAACATAAACAAAAACATATACATATAACATATAACCTCAAATACAATA